ATTTTGAGGTATTTTGATTCAGATTTTGGAAACAGCTTGTAGTGCTTTTCAGCCAGGTCCAGTCAAGAGCAGTGAGAGATTGAGCTGGTCACTGCCATCTGGGGTCACTTTACGGGTGATTCTGGCACAGTACTATCAAATAGAACTTTCTGCCACGATGGAGATTGTCCTGTGTGTGGCATTAGAGGTGTCACCTGCTTGCATGTGTAAACTAGTGGCTGCATGTGTAACTAGTGGCTGCCCTGTTGGGCAGTGCAGATATAGGATATTGGGGTCTTAGTCTGGCTGATAGATTAGGGTGAACAGTTTATGTATGGAAAGATAACAGAAGTTATCAAGGAAAGGTAAATTGTAGCATATCTGGTCCCTGCGCTGTGCTCTGAAGGTATAAAAGGCTGAGGTTTGTCTTCTGTGCTCAGTGGTCTCTAATCTTTATGGCATGTTGTTGCTCAGGACTTTTCTTCCCTGAAATTTAAGACCTGCCCTGGCAGCCCCCAGCTGCTACCTGTGCCTGTGGTTGGATTGAACCTGGGACTCACTTGGCATGCCACTGGAAGATGGCTGCTGACTTTTAGTTTCAATCTGGGCAGGTTGACAAGGGAAGGTTGAGATGACTGAAGTGTAGTGAAGTAAGATAGAGCTTAAGTCAACTCTGGGTGGCTCTCATTTGGTACAGTAGGCTCTTAAAGAAGGTTTTTCATTTGAAGTGTAAGGCAAGCACAATTGATCATAGTTTCTTCAATGGATCTCTTTAGAGTCTCCTTTCAATTTACCTTTTTAACTTGGTTTCTTACAGGAATCTCTTGATGTTAGTGCAACTGAGCTTATTAATTTACATGCTTTATGAATTTCCACTTTCTTCTGGTGTCTCTTTTCTGAAACTTTCCTCTGTGTGTGTAATTGGAGATTGAACCAGAAGGTATTCTTCTACTGAGCTATATCCCTTTTTAAAACTTTTTTCTTGCTAAATTGCTGGGGCTGGGCTCAAACTTGTGATCCTCCTGCCACAGCCTCCTGAGCTGCTTGGTATATAGGTGTGCACCACCTTGCCTAGCTCCTCTGCCTTTCTAAAAATCCTAATTGCCATCCCCTGTACAATGCTATGCACTTTCAGTCCCAGTCCAGGTGTAGATCCGGCCTTGTAGTTTGATATTTCTCATAAGTTGTGTTGTCTTAGTTATTTGTTTACATCATAAATTCCTTGTGCTTTTGTCTGTCTCATATATATATTATATATATTTATTTTAATGCTATCTGTAGTGAGCAACAAGTAAAATTTAAAAAGAAATACGAAGTGCACCTCAGCTGGTTTGTAGGGTCATTTAAACAGTTGAGACTGTCTTTTTATTCATTTTATTTAGTAAGCATTGTTTATAAAGTACTGTGGGAAATACAAAGGTGGTCAAAGTACAGTTTCTTCCAAGGGATTGATAGTCTGGTGGAATCTGTAGACCACAGCAACATCTAAGTGAGGTAGGTGCTATGAACAACATCGACCCTCAGGACTGGGAACGGGAGGATGAGCAGTGGAGAGGATTGGTGTGGATTTTGCAGAGCGGGGGAGTCTGCCCTGGAGGAGGGTTCACAGCTAGAAAGAACAAGGAGGCGGAGGGGATCCCTGAGACAAAAGCTCCAAGGATGGGGAGCTGAAAGGCTACCATAGAGGGTCTGCAGAGTCAGGCATGTGGTGATTCACACCATGAAACTGAGGAAAGATTATTTCTTCTTTTTTTCCTTTCTTTTTAATAAATTGGGTAATATTTCTTGAAGGATATCCAGTGTCATCTTTTATTTATTTGTGGTGCTGGGAATCAAACCCAGGGTCTTGTACATGCTACTTCAAGGGCTCAGCCAAGAGCTACAGCCCCAGCCCCTCAGATGACTTCTTCATCAGTAATTTAGCAGTGATTCTCAGGCTAGCACTGAAATCATCAGAAGGGCTTGTTAAAATTCATGAAGCTGGGCCCACCCTGTGGTTTGTTTCAGTGGTGTGGGGCTTTCATTCCTGATAAGTCCTCCTGGGTAACTGATGCTGCCTGTGAAGAGTATCACCCATGTTTGTATGTATGTACGTTCCCAGGGTTGATGCACCTGGTGTTCCTGTTGCTCTGGACATGTCGTCGGGTTTTCCCATAGGTTGTAATTCAGGCCTCTGTTACTCAGCCCCTAGTTCAGTGCCATAACCACAATGATTGAAAGTGGTAATACTGAACTTGCACATGTGGTACCCAGTTCTTTAAGTATCTGAACTAGGGGCATATACTTTGGGAAGCCCTAAGGAAACATGGATTTTAAACTTCTATGACTCCAAATGCAGAGCCCAAACAAACATTTTTTTCAGGACCCTTTTACATTTTTTTTTGTGTGTCTCAGGGATTGAACCACATCCCAGCCCTATTTTGTTTAGAGACAGGGTCTCACTGAGTTGCTTAGGGCCTCACCATTGCTGAGATTGGCTTTGAACTCATGATCCTCCTGCCTCAGCCTCCTGAGCTGCTGGAATTACAGGCATGCACCACTATCGCTCGGCCCTCTGCATTCTAGAAAGTGAATGAGATATCCAAAGAACGGTTATGTAGTTCATATCTATTGATATTTACCATATTAGAGAGTAAAAAATGATATTTAAAACATTAATTCATTAAAAATAATAAACTAGGGCTGGGGTTGTGACTCAGCAGTAGAGAGCTCAATTAGCATGTGTGAGGCCCTGGGTTCGATCCTCAGCACCTCATAAAAATAAATAAAATAAAGGTATTAAAATTTTTTTTAAAACAATAAACTAGTAGGTTACATAATTTTTAAAATGGAGAATAACTATTTTCTAAAACAATCTTATGGGGAGATGGTATTGCTTTTTTGCAAATCTGTTTAATGATCTGCTTAAGAGAAGACAACTTGATTCTTTTATCTTTTCTGCATTTTATTTATAGCAATAATTTGTTTTGGTTCAAGTGTATGAAGAAAAATGGCCCACACAGATGTGTAGGAAAGGAAAAGAGTATTTTTAAGAGGATTTTCAGGTAATTATGGAGATTTTTCCTTGATACTACTACAAAATTAATAGTTTTTTAAAAATATTTTTTAGGTGTAGTTGGACACAATGCCTTTATTTTATTTATTTTTATGTGGTGCTGAGTATCGAACCCAGGGCCTCGCACATGCTAGGTGAGCGCTCTACCAATGAGCCACAACCCCACCCCAGGCTGTAGTTTTTTTAAAGGTGGAATCTGAAATGGATATGAGATGAACTTTTCTTATTGTTAACAGAAAAAAATCTATTGGCCTCCTTTGTGCTTTGAGTGACTACTTTCTCTAAGCAAAGCCTTCTACAGATATGCACTGCTGGTGGAGAAAATTCTCTGAGTCAGGAGATCTTTCACATATGGGCACATTTCATTGTGTAGCATTAAGAAATCACATGAATTGGTCACTGGTCACAGTGGTGCAGCCTCCCAGGGACTTGGGAGGCTGAGGCAGGAAGAGTTTGAGACAAGCCTGGGCAAATTAGCGAGGCCCTCAGCAACTTAGTGATACCTTGCCTCAAAATAGAATAAAAACTTAAGAAAGGGCTGGGGATGTGCCTCAGTGGTACAGCGCCTCTGGATTCAATCTCCAGTACCAAAAAGGTACTGGAAGAGTACAAACAAAGAGGCCATAAGAGTACAAGTTCAAGGCCAGCTTCTTCAGTTTAGCAAGACCTTGTCACAAAAAATAAAAGAGCCTGGGGATGTAGCTCAGCAGTAAAGTGCCCCTGGGTTTAGTCCTCAGTGCCAGAAAAAGCTTACATTTGTTAGTAGAATCGATCTCATCCGAAAGGTTGTCAGTATTGGGAAACTGTCAAGCTCACTGTAAGAATATGTCTTCCAAAATTCTAAGTTTGTCTGTAAAGCTTACTTGTCATCATGGTCAACACATTTGTTTTCCTTAAGTGCAAGATGCACATAGTTCACTATGGAGAAGGTATCTTCCCACCACCAGCACCAAGAATACCCCAGTTTCTCAGTCCTTCTTTCAAGAAATAAAGAGAGAGCTCATGCTAGGCTTGCTCAGGTGCTGTTCTGAGACGGTCAATGCACAGCAGTGTGAAGCCAGGGCACCTGCTGGACCTCTCAATTCTAAAAAGGCCTGCATCCACGTGTTGACTCTCTCTTTTTTTTTTTTTTTAAGTTGTAGATGGACATAACATCTTTATTTATTCATTTATTTTTTATGTGGTGCTGAAGATTGAACCCAGTGCCTCATACTTGTGAGGCAAGAGCTCTACCACTGGGCAAACCCCATGGGTTGACTCTTGATAAGATCTTTTTTTTTTCCTTTCTTAAGTGCTTCTTGACATTCTTAAGTGAAAGTGGCTCTTTTTCCCCCTGCACTGGCTGGCCCGAAATTCAGAAAAGACTAGGAAAGTTTGGTCCCATTGCTTTTGAAATTAAAAAGGATGTCGCTTAGTGGCAGAGCACCTCTCTAATGTACCAGATAGGCAGGATACCAAGAAAAAAGCATATTGTGTTTTTCTCTAAGCAGAGTAAAGATAATTTTACTTCATTGCTTCCCAGATGAGGCTGTTTCTTTCAGAGTTTGGGCCCTCCTCTGTTTTAACATATAAGCAATTTTATATTGTTAATTGCATAATTCTGTGGACTTAAAAATAGTTAATATAGGCCTGTGGTAATAAAAACTAAAAACTCCCTTCCCCTGCTCTCATTAAGTTTGGTGCAGATTTTTCTGAATTCTCTTTTATAAATTGTATGGTTTTAGGCCTTTTACTGAACTGGTGATACTAGATAATATAAAGCAAAGTGAATATATTGCTATAAATCACCTTTAAATTCATTTCAGCAGCATTTTCATGTTTTTAGTGACCAGTTCTGGACTCATTGTGAAGATGGTTTATTATTGAATGTGAGGGAAACTTAGCCTATGAAGTGACTTTCATAACAGACATTGTTTCTATTTATTTTCCCCTATAGATTAAGAATTTATTTTGTTTCTCTGTGCAGGTTTAATCTAGAGACTGACTGTATGATAGAAACACCCACACTTTTATCAATGGTCGGGGAAAGACAGTGGCAACAGGCGAAGAGAGACTGAATCACAAAGACAATGAGTCTGCTGAAGCCAAGCGGGCTGAAGGCCCCTACCAAGATCCTCAAGCCGGGAAGCACAGCCCTGAAGACACCTGCTGCTGGTAACACTTTGTTTTCTTCAATAGCAAATAAATTATCCTGTATGAGACTTTAATTTTCATTTTTATGTTAAAGAGATAACCTTATAGTTGTGCTTCCCAGTGCACACCTGTAATTCCAGCAGTTCAGGAGGCTGAGGCTGGAGAATCACAAGTTCGAGGCCAGCCTCAGCAACTTAGATATTAAAAAAAATAAAAAGGACTGGGGATGTAGCTCTCTGGTAAAGCATGCCTGGGTTAAATACTCAGTCCCCCCCCCCCCCAAAAAAAATATATATATATCTATGTTTATAAGGATATATATGTATAACCAGTTTTCATATTCTTGAAAACATTTGAAAAAGTTTTGATTAGTAGAAAGGAAAGACATTTATTTTCGGCCAACATAGGGATCACTGACTTGGCCTTGAATACCCAGCAGGAAGATGTAACCAAAGACAAGTGTACAAACACAAGGGCAGAAGAGTCATAAAGAGTAGTGATACCTGCATTATTAAAGACTGTGGACCTTTTAAATGTGACTTGAGGTGTGCATTTGTGTCAACCCTACCAAAGTCAGTCAAGCTGGAAGTTGTGGAGAGGGCTCTTAGTCAGGATTGCCCGACCCACAACCCCACCAATGCCTACAAAAAAAAAAGCAGAACTAGGCTCAGACAAGGGTTCCTCTATTTAAGTAGAAACAAGAAAATGATTTTTTCCCAAATATGTTTTTTAGTAGTCCATACGCACAGAACTTTTTATAGGGAGTGTTTTATTTATACATGATTTGTTTAGTTGGATATCTTCATACTCTATCTTTTGTGTACTTTGTAATAGTACTTATACTTTTAGGGTTAATCATCTGACCCTTTTCACTTACGTGCTTTAGCCATTATTCAAAGATTAGAGATCACTGTGGTGGAAAGCTGCAAAGCCAGATTGGCTGACAGCCTGGTTCTCTCGGCACTGAGGAGTGGACAAAAGGCAGGATTGAAACAAGGACTTACAGACTCAAGGCTCTGCACTTTTGCCTGCAGATGTCCAGTGGGTGGCTAAAAGCAGGATTACAGTCTTGGCATCTTTGCTTCCATTTTGCAGGAGTCTCCTTTGCTCTGCTTGGTCTCCAGGAATAAGGTCTGGTCTCCCAGGCAAGAGTAACTTTCTTACTGGGGACAAGGTCCCACCTGAGATCATGATGGACAGACCACACCTGATCAAGATCATCTACTTTGGCAGTTGTAAAAATTCTCCACCTATACGCCCCCAGCCCTTGCTCTCCTTCCCTTTCTATAAAACCTCAGGGTCATTCCAGCCTCTGGAAGACAGGGCTAAGAATATGGGTCCCCTTGTCTTCCAGGTGTGGTTATGCTGATTAAATTTCCTTTCATATCATTAAAAGTTATTGTAAAAGACAGAATTTGGGCTCGGGGTGTAGCTCATTAGTAGAGTGTTTGCTAGCCTGTGCAAGGCCCCGAGTTGAATCCCTAGCACCGCAAAATGTTAAAGTATTTCTTTTGATTCTTCCACATGAGTCTTCCTGAACTCTTTAGGCCTTTCTCTGTGGGGATTAGAGAAAAAAACAATATTCTAGCCCAAAAGTTTTATGACATACTAATTGACCTGTAATTGGAGGGGAACCTTCCCAGACAGCTCATACATGAACTGACCCAATCCATTCAGGCTTCTATATAAGAAAGTACATTAGCTGGGTGGTTTATAAACAACAGAAATTTATTGCTGACAGTTCTGTTACGTCCCTAACTTTGTGTAGTTTATGCATCTATCAGATGTCACCTCCTACAAAAGGCCTTCCCTGACTTCCCTTTCCAAGGCACTATCTTCTCCACAGCACTTAGATCACTTGCAAGTACCTTGAATGTTGAATTGCCACCTTCCCACCTCTAGACTCTGGTCTCTGCAAGGACACAAATGATGTTCTTTTTGCTTTGTCCCCTGCATAGAGCAGTACTTGGCACTAGTCACACAGAAGCAGGAATTTGATGAGCATGTGCAGAATGAATAAATACATCATTTCATTTTTTTAAAGTCTTTTTTTGTAGTTGAAGATGTACAGTGTGCCTTTATTTATTTTTTTATGTGGTGCTGAGAATCAAACCCAGTGCCTCACACATGCTAGGCAAGTGCTCTGCCACTGAGCTACAGCCCCAGCCCACATTATTTCATTTAATTCTCATTTTAAAAGCCCTTGAGAGATGTTCCTGTCCTCTTACAGTTGAGGAAATTAAACTAAGGTCATGTCACAGCCTGAGATGATGATATGCTCGGTAACTGATAGAATGATCAAGAACGTCCACTTTGCCAGATCACACTAAATATTTAATAGATTCCTGTTGGATGGCTGCATGGCTGAGTTTCCATTGCAGATATCACATTTCTGTAGAACTCTTAACTGCTATCTTTAGGGTAGCGATTGCACAAAGGCAAATTGCGTTGGACCTGGTGCTGTCTTTGCTGTGATTTCCACCTCTGTCATCAAAGGAAGAGGGTGTAGTAGTCTTTCAATAGTAATGATGTAAGCTGCAGCCCTGAACCCTGTCCTTCTTTAAGCCTAAATGTGAATCTATGCGGTGAAGTAGTCCCTGTTTTGTCTGCTTTGATTGCTACTCAAATGTATGAACAGAGCCTGTCTCAATGGATCTGTATGGGCATTTGTGTATGGTGGGCAAGTGGAGTAAAAAATGAGGTCAGACCTGTAAGTATAGGTCTGGCAAGGGACTAATTTCCTCTTACTTTGACTTATAGTCTTAATCACAAATGAAAAACTCCATCACTGAATGTTAACAGCATTGGAAAGTGAAGTGATGGGGCCAGTCCTCTGCCTTTTTGCAGTAGAAAAGTCAAGCCAGGACTCTTCTGTCACAGGCTACTCCTGTTGCTGTTTTTATTTTTTTTTCTTCATACCTTTACTTTGTTTTTATTTGTATGTGGTGCTGAGAATCGAACTCAGTGCCTCACGCATGCTAGGCAAGCGCTCTGCCACTGAGCCCCAGCCCCATCCCCTGCTGTCGCTCTTACTGTTTGTTTTCCATTACGGTAATAGTTGGTGCTTGAATATGAAACAATCTTTTCTGGGGCTGGGGAATGTGGCTCAAGCGGTAGTGCGCTCGCCTGGCATGCATGCGGCCCGGGTTCAATCCTCAGCACCACATACAAACAAAGATGTTGTGTCCGCCGATAACTAAAAAAATAAGTAAATATTAAACAAAACAAAACAAAACAATCTTTTCTGATCTTTATTTGTTTTCAGCTGCAGCCCCGGTAGAAAAAATGATATCTAGTGAAAGAGCCTCGAGTGCTCCCTCCACTGAGACCCCAGAGGAGTTTGTGGATGACTTTCGAGTTGGAGAGCGTGTTTGGGTGAATGGGAATAAGCCTGGATTCATCCAGTTTCTTGGAGAGACTCAGTTTGCCCCAGGCCAGTGGGCTGGGATCGTTTTAGATGAACCCATTGGCAAGAACGATGGTTCTGTGGCAGGAGTTCGGTATTTCCAGTGTGAACCTTTAAAAGGCATCTTTACCCGACCTTCAAAGTTAACCAGGAAGGTGCAGACAGAGGACGAAGCCAATGGCCTGCAGACAGCTCAGGCATCCAGAGCCGCTTCACCTCTGTCCACGTCTGTAGCCAACATGGTGTCCTCCTCAGCCACACCCTCAAACATTCCCCATAAGTCTTCCCAGCCAAGAGCCAAGGAACCGCCAGCCACGCCTCAGATCAGCAACCTTACGAAAACTGCCAGCGAGTCAATCTCCAACCTTTCTGAGGCTGGCTCAGTCAAGAAAGGAGAGCGAGAGCTCAAAATTGGAGACCGAGTGTTGGTGAGTCATGTGTGCAGCATCCCTGTGTCCTTTTGTTCCTAGTTCTTGTATTTTTTTCACTTTAATAAGTTTTTATTTTTAATGGTAGTGGGGATTGAACTCCGGGGGGGAGGGGGAGGAGACCTACCACAGAGCTACATCCCCACCCTTTTAATTTTTTTTTTATTTTTGAGACAAGGCCTCCTTAAGTTGCTCATACTCTGTCTCAATCTTGTGATCCTCCTGCTTCAGCCGAGTAGCTGGATTATAGACATAGAAACAGAAAACATTTTGACTTGAAAATTAAAAGTAGACTTAGAATATGAAATGTTTGATTTGAAATTCTCATGATTTAAAAAAAAAAATTGGGGCTGGGGGTGTAGTTTAGTGGGAATGTGTGAGGCCCTGGGTTTCATCCCCCCACCCCCCAAGAGAAAAATCCATCACCAGAATACTAATGGCACTACAGTCAGCATTGCTGTGGGAGGTTCTAGATTGCTCCAGAATTTCCCCAGTGCCACCTGCCGTGCCCTTGGGGCTCCTGCCAGGGGCTGTCTTCTTCACACCCTTCAGCCCTCGTAACTTCTGCTTCTCTTGCTATGGAACCAGAACCAGAACTGGCAGAAAAGGGCGTTTCTGTATCAGGTTTGCTGTGGCCTCCACAGGATCCCAACAGGAGGTCCCGCTGCACCCTCCAGGAAGGCAGTCGGCTGGGAGTTCTGCCTTCTCCTCCTGCCCAGTGGGAAGTGAGGGTGAAAGGGATTATGAGAGAATGTCTTTCTGGAAAAATGGTGTGGGTTAAGAATGGGCTCGAGGGGCTGGGGCTGTAGCGCACTTGCCTGGCATGTATGAGGCACTGGGTTCGGTTCTCAGCACCATGTATAACTAAATAAAGGTTTATCAACAACTAAAAAAAAAAAAAAAGAAAGAAAAAAAAGAATGGGCTTGAGGTGAGGTGAGTTGAGCTGATGTGGGCTGGCAGGGGCTTGGCACGGACCTGTCTGCATCCTAGTACTGAGCCTCTGGCTACGGTTTTCCCTTTGTCCATGTGAACATTCTCTGGATCTTGCTGCTGGAGGTTGCTTTAGTCTGTTCTGCATGAGGAGCTTCTTGGGGTGGAGGCTCTGCTGTGTTTGACTCTCAGAGACCTCTTTGCAGACTGGAAGTCCCTAGGGTAACTTGTTACTTGGAATGTTTTTGAGAGGGTCTTTCTTCATTTTTTAGTGTCTTTGATATTTCAAGGTTATAATGTCAGGTGTTTTGAGAAACTTGACCAACTTGTAGCAGTTTGTGTCTGCATTGGGGACTGTATTTTCCTCTGTGAATTCTGAGCTTTATGTCCATATGAGGAGCTTCATCAACTTTTTGTTTTTAAAGTGACACATTTTATTTTTCTATGAGCAGCTCTTCTACGAGGAATCTGGTAGCGAGTTTTTCTTGTTCTCAACACTTTTATGAAGGTCTTTTGATATTGTAAAAGGGAAAAAATTCTTCACAAGATTTACTTTGCTTGCATTTGAACCTCAAATAACTGTAGTTCATCCAACATAAGCTTTTTATGTGTCTTTATTCATTTGTTTGACATTGTATTAGATTTATCTATAATATGTAAATTTAAAAGTGGAAAATGGAGTCACACTATACATACATCATTTCATAATAAACCTTTATGGATTTTAGGCATTTCTGTGCAAGGAATATAGTTCTTCATTTAAATCAAATAAGCTGCTATTTGATATTATATTGTTTGGATGTATGTATTATACCTAATTTAATCATAGGCATTTATAGGCTCTCATTCTTCCCCCCGGAAATAAAATTTGAATTAAGAGTATTTTTTTTTTTTTTTTTTTTGGTACTGGGGATTGAACCCAGGGGTGCTCTACCACCCAGCTACAACCCATCCCTTTTTATTTTATTTTGAGACAGGGTCTCATTAAATTTCTCAGGCTGGTCTTGGACTTGGAATCCTCCTGCCTCAGCCTCCTGAGTAACTGGGATTATAAGTGTGTGCCACTGTACCTGGCAAAGAGTATAAATATTTAATATTTATGTAATAGGTATTACTAAATTGCAGCCCCAAAAGCCCTTACTATTTTATGTTCTTAGAATTAATGTACAAATGTGATTTCTTCTGTTTCTCTCAAGCCTCTTTACCAGTGACTTAGAGCCCCGCAAGCTGTGAATCTGGTTGGGTCATTGCCCTTACACTGGGCACTTGTTCGTCTATCTGGGCAGCTAATGTGCTCAGGTTGTGTGGGGCTTCATGCTCTGGGGAAGCTATTCTGTACCATAAATTCCATTTCCTTGATTGCTGATATAGTAATCGTTAGCAGAAAGTTCTGTTTTTTTTTTTTTTTTTTTATAGATTAATTTATGTAAGTGGACATTTTTACAATATTAAGACTTTTTCTTAAGGTACATTTTTTTTACTGAAGAAAGAAGGCTTTAAAGTTTCTTTTTTACAGAAAAAATTTACTACTATAGAACCAGGAAAGAGAGATTGAGTAAGACTGGGACTCCGGTCCCCAAATCCCCTTCAGGGGCATACTTTCAGTGATCTAAACACTTCTCCTAAGGCCCTACCTCCTGCAGGTCTTGTCACCTCTCTGTATTGCCACCCTGGGGACCAAGCCTTTAATAGGTGGATCTCTGGGATACAGGTATCCAAACTATAGCAGTGCCTATACACCTGTCATGATTTTCAGGTTCCTTCCCAATCAGTTATTTTTTTAATTGGTGCATTAGAGTTGTGAGTAGTAGTGGGATTTTTTTGTTACATATTTGTACATGCACACAATATAACAGTATCATTTGGCCAATATTATTCCCTAGTATTTCCCCTTTCCCTCTCCCTGGTTCCTTTTCTCTACTGTCTTGATCTCTCTTTGGTTTTCATGAGATCCCCCTGCCCTGTCACATTTTTTTTTCCTTTTTCCTTGCTAGCTTTCACATGAGAGAAGACATGTGACTCTTAACTTTCTGAGTTTGGCTTATTTCACTTAATGTTCTCTAGTTTCATCCACTTTCCTGCAAATGACATAATTTCATTTTTCTTTATGGCTGAATACAACTCCATTGTGTATATATACCACATTTCTTTATACATTTGTCCATTGGTGGACACCTAGACTGGTTCCATAATTTGACTATTGTGAATTGTCCTGCTTCAAACATGGATATGCATATGTCATTATAATATGTTTACTTTAATTCTTTAGGATAAATGCCAAGGAGTGGTATAGCTAGTTGGGTCATATGGTGGTCCATGCCTAATTTTGGGGGGAACTTCTGATTTCCATAGTGGCTGTACTAATTTACAATCCCCCCAACAGTGTTAAAGTGTTCCTTTTTCTCCACATTCTTGTCTATTACTTTGTAGGGCTCATATGTTCATATTTAAAAAAAAAAAATCCTGCCTGACATTGAGATCTTTTCTAGCAGGTTAGATAGTATCCCATGTCCTCTGCAGTGATGATTACTGCAGATTTGAATCATTTTTTTCTGATTTTAGTTTTGATTTTTTTTTTTTTTTTCATTTTCAGTTTTCACGTGTCCTAAATCTTATTCAACATAGCCTTATGGGATTGCCCAGTAGGGAACTAGAACCTCACACTGCTGATGAGAAGCTGTTTTTTATTTTGAGACAGGATCTTGCTAAGTTGCTAAGGCTGGCCTCAAACTTGCAGTCTTTCTGTTTCAGGCTCCTGAGTGTCTGGGTCCCCATTTTTTCTTTTGAGGCTAGCTCATCCATCTGCCTATGGGATTCACTGGCCCTTCTTACTCCAGACCTGTTGCCCTCGCTGCTCTGAGTCAGGCTGTATTAGATTTAGTTGGACTTCCAGGCTGGTGTGTCTCTCCTGCGTTCTGTTCTTTACATAGAGCGAGAGAGAGAGGTCCATAGCACAGATCAGTGATGTGATTCCTCTGGGTAAAATCCTTTAGTGCAGAGCCCAGCCTGTCCACAACAACGGCTTAGTTTTCATGCTGTTTAGTGTTTCTGTGGAGCTTAGTAATGGGGCAGTGCTTTCTTTTTGCAAACTGAAGCCAATATCTCAGCCCCAACAGTGCCAAAGTTGGTATATCTCTTGCAATTGTTTGTTTGTGGGTCAAGGAGCCAGCCCACGTGGTGGAGTGCTGCTTTGGGATTCAGACAGAGGACAGTTCAACCTCGGCCTAAACCCAAGTGCTGGTGTGGAAGTTCTATTACTAAGTCATGCCTCCCAATATAAAACAGCTTTATTGCTCCCATGATTTTTTAAGCATATTTATAAAAATATCTTGTGACCTATGATCTTGTATAGAAAAGCAAACTCTGCTAATATCATTCTGGTCAGGCATCATGCTTTTTTATTTTAGTGCCATTAGGACTGCCTCTGGCGATTAGATATTCTATACTTTATCAACCCCAGAGATAAAAGGAGTAGAATTTTTTTTTGTGGTTTTCTATTAATATTTTAAACCATTAAAATATTTTAAAAGTCGAAATATTTGTGAGTCCTTGGAAATATATTTGCCTAAATTGCCTACTTCAAAAATCATAACTATAGAATATATTGGGTTTTGTTGGCTTTTTGTTTCATCGGTGTTTTTAGGAGTTTGGGGCAAAGCGTGTTTTTCTTTTTTTTTTTTTTAGTTGTTGATGGACACCATATCTTTATCTTTATTTATTTATTTTTATGTGGTGCTGAGGATCGAACCTAGGGCCTCACACATTTAAGACAAGCACTCTACCACTGAACTACAACCCCAGCCTTTGTTTATTTTTGCTGGGGATCAAACCCAGTGCCTCATTCATGCTAGGCAAGTGCTCTGCCGTTGTGCCACATCCCCGGCCCGCAAAGCATGTTTTGAATATGGTTGGAGTGAGTGGGGACTGTGCAGCCATCACACGGCTCAGTATTATAGTGTCCCCATCACTCAGGAGTGCCTTTATGCCAGCCTGTAAGCATTCTTCATCCCATCTGCAGCCCCAAGCAGTCACTGATCTGCTCGCTATCTCTGGAGGCCCTGCCCTTTCT